TACTGCTATAAAGATAACCTAAATTTTTGATATTAAAATGAGCGATATTAAAAGTAGCCCTCTTTATATACACACAAACACACACACGCGTATAGTTTAAATTCTCAATTTAGATTCTCAATATGTATATATATACTCGATTAACCGGACTAATTGTTGCCGTTAGGGATTCGGATAATCGAAAATCCGGATGATCGAATGTATGAAGAAAAGCGGGTTTTGTGCATTTGTAGTACGTATGTACATACATAATGTTATGTGTTTATTAAAAACAACAATTTCAACGGAAATGAATGTTTATTAAGAAATTATTATTTTTTAATAAACATTGATTAAATTCCATGAAGAGATATAAATCTATATAACCATCCGTTACTTGCGACAAACGAGCCGCCGTCACCTAATTTTTTATTTAACTGTAATGCTTTTTCACAAAGCAAAGGGCCAGATATCATTTGCCCAGTTGATCGTTTTTATAAAAACCAACAATACAAAGCGTCTTCTAATTGCCAATTTACTCGCGGACATAGGTCCTTATGTCCGGGACGGGGGTTTGTTAGCGCCTGATAGTAGATCGTCTTATCTCAAGCGGTGTGAAGCGACGATTAGTGAGGTGCGCGAGGGGGAGGCATTTGTGCGTGCGGTCGATCACCCCTGTTGGCATCGAGCCGAGCTAGGGAGCAGACGGCGGGGCCGGGCTGCACCCGGCCCGCCGCTAGGGCGCGCTCCTAACTAGGCACGCGGCGCCTGCGCCGATGACGTTCTCCGGTCGCATTATAGGGGTCGCGAGAGTTTTTGCGCGAAGCCGGGTTGTTCATATATTGAAAGTCTCCTTGTTTTGTCTTAGACTTATGTTAATAGAGCGTGCCATTTGAATTTAAAGACAATTAATTGGACAATAAATAATAAGTGACAAATCTTGCCGTGGAGCGTGGAACTGAGTAGTTGCGCGTCTTGTTAATATAATTGCCTTACGGCCGCCCTGACGTATGTACTACGCGAACCTGAGTTTTTTGCGACGCGGTCCGGTGATACAGTATTTTTCACAAATAGTGAGTTCGTTATAATATGATATATATGATACGTTATAATGTGATATACAAAAGGAATCGTAAGATATAAGCGAAAATATTTCAATTTTTTTGTAACGAACTTTGACGCTGACCTACGATAACAAGCATCGAGCCCACTTCGCGCGCGCTTTAGTCACTACTTGAACGTCGCCGTGCTGCATTCAGGCGGTCGAGTTGTAAAGTTAATATACTTTTTATATTATATTATTTTTTGCTATTAAAAATTAATAATCTTAATGGCGGTTGCAACAAGCCTCTGAAGGCTAATGAAAAGATTTCCTGCTCTCAAACTAACTGCAAAAAACAATTTCATTACTTTTGTGTTCAACTGACAAGTGCTAAAAAGCTGACTAACTGGAAATGCCCTGACTACATTCAAGAAATGTCATCAACTCAGCGTAATAAAATCAAAAATGATACATCCGGTAAGAACTCCTTACCTAAAGCTATCATTGAATCACTCGATGAACGTCAAAATGTAACCTTTACTCGGGGTAATACTTTAAATAATAGCTTCGTTGAAGAAACTGTCAATATGCGGTCCGCTGTCAGAAATGTTTTGCATGAAGAAATAGGAGATATTGTACGAGCAGCAATAAGCGAGGAGTTTTCCATATTAAGAAAGGAATTACGCAGCTGTGAAGATTCGTTAAGCTACTTGAATAATAAATTTAAATAAATGAAAAATAATGTTGGGGCCTGTGTGGAAATGAATAAAACATTCCAGCTTGAGAACAACTTATTGCAGCGCAAATTCAATGATTTGGAATCGAGGTTGTCTGTTATAGAGCAGGACTCGAGGCAAAATAATATGGAAATTCATTGTCTACCAGAGCACAGACAAGAGAACTTAGTTAACATTCTTATGCAAATCAGTAAAGTAGTTAGTTTTCCTCTTACAGAAACTGACATTGTTGCCTGCAATAGAGTTCAAAAACAAAACCCATCCTCAAAAGTATCCAAAACAGTTACATGCAGATTTGTCAGTAAATTAAAACGCGACTACTTACTTGCAGCTGTATACAAATATAACAAGTCTCATCCCAAAGCAAAATTGAACACCAAACTTTTAGGCTTTGGAGATGTTCAATCAGCCGTCTACATCAGTTAACATCTCACCCAAACTAATAAATCACTGCATACTGCAACGAGAATCTGGGCGAAAAAGAAAAATTACAAATATGTATGGGTAATAAATGGAAGAATTTTTGTTAGAAAAGACTATGAACATCCAGCAAAAGTGATATTACACCAGTTTACCTTGAAACCTTTAAATTAGATTTTAATATCTTTTTAGCAACGGTCATTGTTTTTAGTTTTAAAATTCACTCTTAACATTTGTTACCAAAACATCCGCGGTATGCGGACTAAATTACCTGATGTCTTTTTGGAAGTTAGCGCTAACAATTTCGATTTAATCGTATTAACAGAGACTTGGCTTAACGATAGTATATTTGATAGTGAAATTTTCGATAGTAGGTATCAAGTATTTAGGAGGGACAGGTCATCCAACACTTTTAACGAGAATAATGATGGAGGTGGTGTTGCTATCGCTGTGAAAAAGTCAATTAGTGCTTGTAGAAACCACAATTTTTAATCTCGTTGTGAAGATTTATGGGTAACCCTAGAGCTGGGTAACTATAGAATCTGTGTTTGTTCAGTTTACTTACGTTCTCCTCCAAAACAAACTCATCTCAAGCATTTTACTGAAGATGCTGGTAATGTCATTAATAATACATGCAATGATATTCTTATTTTTGGAGATTTTAATCTGCGTGACATTGTTTGGACTCCTTCTAATGCAGATTCATCGCTTAAACCCAGCAATTTCGATAATATCTTCGGTTATGAATTCGTAGACTTTTTGTCTAGTTATGATCTAAAGCAATACAGTCAGATCTCTAATCACCAGGGCAAAATTCTCGACCTCGTGCTGAGTAACAAAATCTGTGATATTTACGTTAAAAAATCAAACAGTATAATTTCTCGAATAGACAACTATCATCCCCCAATTGAAGTAGACTAAGTTTTATGTAAAGCAAAAATGCTCTCTCCAAGACAAACTCCTAAATACAAGTTTTTTTAGCGAATTACGATAGTATATGAACCCGTTTATCTGACCTCAACTGGACTTCGGAGTTCCAAAACTGTTCAACTGTTGATGAAGTTGTATCGAAGTTTTACTCTATTATAAAAAAAGTTATCACTGAATTTGTTCCATGTCGCATACAAAACAAAAAATAATTCCTCCATGGTATACAACAAACCTCATAAAACTATTACGAGAAAAGGAAAAATCTCGTCAAAAAGTTTAAAAAGTACAGGAATGAATTAGACAAATTTAAATACAATATCTTAAAAGTTAGAACTAAAATATAGTTAATATGAAATTTGGAGACAAAGAAGCTAATATAGGAGAAAAAATTTCCCACCTGTTTGCAGAAAATGTTGAATTAGTATATAAACCTATTCATATTAGTTTACATATAAACAAAATGGAAATACCAAAGTCTGCTTTCTCCATGGAAAAACTTTATTTAAATAATGACAGTATTGAGAAGTGCTTAAAGGCTCTAGATATTACTAAGGGCGCCGGAAGTGATGGGATTCACCCCTTGTTTCTAAAGGAATGCGCAGTAGAACTCACGATACCCTTACATATTATTTTTAATAGATCATTATCTGAAGGTATATTTACGAAACGTTGTAAGGATGCAATAATTATACCATTACATGAATCAGGCGATGAAAGTAATATCTGCACTGCACCTATTAGTATTCTTCCAGTTTTAGGTAAAGTTCATGAATCGTTAATTTGTCCTTATTTGACTTGGCATATAAAACATATTATAGCTGATCAACAACACGGATTTTTTTAAAAACGCTCTACTATTTCCAATCTTATAACATTTGTTGACAAAACACTTACTGGAATGAGCTCAGGGAATGAATGGGTCACAGTAAATTATTCAGTTCTAATCAATAAACTACACACATTATTTGGCATACATGGATGCTTATTAGATTGGTTTGCCACATACCTGACAGATCAAATACAAAAAGTAGTCATTAGTGGTTTTGTTTCTAGAGAAATTATCTCAACGTCTGGAGTTCCACAAGGCTCGTACGTTGGCCCATTACTTTTTATAATGTTTATCGATGATATTAAGCATTGTATCCGTAACTCCGATTTTGAATTATACGCAGATGACCTAAAGATATCAAAAATTCTGAATAATAACACAGACCAAATACAACTTCAAGAGGATATAGATAGAATTACAGAATGGTGCCGGCAAAACAAAATATCACTCAATACAAATAAATGCTATCACATTAAATTCTCTCGAAAATTTAACAAATATAATAGTAGCTACAATATGAATGGTGTAGATTTAGCGAAAGTAAATGAAGTGAAGGACTTAGGCATTGCTATTGACTCTCAGATGTGATTCACTAACCACATTAACAATACCATACACAAATCGTTAAGAATGTTGGCTTTTATTTTCAGAAACACCAAAGATTTTATGTCGGTTTTAGGGTTAAAAGTCCTCTATTTTGCACTGGTTCGCAGTCATGTTGATTATTGTTCAGTCGTATGGTACCCGTCTTATCAAAATAATATTCAGCGTATAGAAAGAATCAAAAAAAGATTTTTAACCCTAGGATGGTAACAGGGGTGCCCCAACACCCCACGCCAGCAATCACGCGCCAATTTATTGAAAATTATTTGCTCTCTCGCTCTAGTATTTTGTGTATTTTTTTGTCTTACCGTGAGTCATTAGTAGCCGTTGCGCGGTGGGAGCGGCAACACGTCGATTTCGTTCTGCAGGTATGTGTGGGGTGTTGCGTCACCCCTGTTACTATTTACGTAGTTATTTTCTTTTGTTACTGTATTTTTTTATATGTTATTTTCAGTTCATTATGGCGTTTCGTAATGATGAAGAGCTTGAGCGGTACCTAAATAATATGGTCGAGGATGATGATAGTGAAACAGAGCCATTAGAGGCGGAGGAGGCTTCTGAAAATGAAGATAACGTGTCCGTGCATTCCGAACAAGACGACATTATTTCCGGCTCAGATGAAGATGATGTGCCTTTGTCACAGCTTCGAGGGAGTGTTTTGAAAGGTAAGAATGGACATGTTTGGTCTACTTCTGCCCCATCATCAAGCAGAACACCTCAGCGTAACATAGTAACCATCCAAAGGTCTTCGCAAGTCCGTTCTAATATTGAAATAGAAAAAGAAGCTGTTATGATTTTGTTCTCTAAACCTCTCGACATAGTACTTACATACACAGACCAAGTGCTCCCAAATAGAAAGACCAACGTTTTACTCATAAAACAGACAAAACAGAGATCGAGGCACTCATAGGGCTACTATTTTATGCCGCGGTAAACAAAGATAGTAAAAAAAGTGCAACTGAAATGTGGGCGCCCACGAGTACCCCTGTATACAAGTCAATAATGTCCGAGAGTCGGTTTCATTTTCTGCTACTTTGCCTAAGATTTGATGATAAGGACAGCCGTGATAAAGAGGATAAATTTGCACCTATTCGAGAAGAATGGAAGATTTTTATAAACAGTTGCACAAAAGCGTACCAACCACACTGTTACGTTACGATTGATGAACAACTGTTTGGTTTTCGAGGAAAATGTCCCTTTCGTGTTTATATATCTTCGAAACCGGACAAATATGGTACGAAAATTGTGGCCATATGTGACGCTAAAACATATTATATGTTTGACGCAATTCCTTACATAGGAAAAGAAACCGAGGCGAAGACGGCAGCAGACTACGTCACAAAGTTAGATGAGAGCATCAAAGGTTCTGGTCGAAACATAACCTTTGATAATTGGTTCACCTCGGTGCCTCTTGCAGACCAGTTACTGAAGGAATATCGAATTACTTGTATTGGAACTTTACGTAAAAATAAACGAGAGATACCACCTGCTTTCCTACCGAATAAATCAGTCTGCTTTGTCCTCTCAGTTTGCATTTGATCGCGAGAAAACGTTAGTCTCCTTTACTCCAAAGGTAATAAACAAATCGGTGATATTGCTATCTACTATGCACAATAAGGAAGAGATCAATCCTACAACGTATAAGCCAGTTATAATTGATGACTACAATGCTACAAAGGCAGGCGTCGATACCTTTGACAAAATGATGCACAATTACACGACTGCGAGGGGTACTCGACGCTGGCCGCTAAGGTTTTTTTTTCGGTATGTTAGATCAAGCAGGGATCAACTCTATGATTCTCTATCTAGAAGCTAAGCATCCAAACACACCAGCTAATAAGTTTAGAAGTAATTTCTAAAAAAAAACTAGCAATGCAGCTAGCCCAGCCGCACATGAGACGACGCCCGGAGTCAAATTTACCTCGACAACTATCGGGAAATATAAGAGCCATTCGAAATGTCCCCGAAGAAGTTCCAACATGTGAACCCCCCGCTAAATTGCAAAAACAAGCTCGATGTGCATTGTGTCCTCGAAAAAATGACAAAAAGTGAAGATTTTTTTGTTCAAAATGCAGAAGACCTGCGTGCCCTGAACATCGTGTGGAAATTTGTCTCAGTTGTGTTTAAGTTGCCATAAAACATTTTTTATAAATCTAATTTCATTTAGTTACTTATTGATCTAAAGAAAAGTGTTCTTTGAGTTTGTTTCAAAAATAAAAAGTTTAATTTTTCATTAAATAAAAGTTTTTTATTCATTTTATTATCATGGGGTGACGTGACACCCCTGTTACCATGTGTGTTCATTTAAATTATGTTACCATCGTAGGGTTAAATAAAATATCTTACGTAAGTGGCGTTCCTTAGTCTGGGTTCCTTAAAAAAGAAAATATCTCTATACTAACTCAAACTGAAAATTAAAACTTTAAATTATACAATGTTAAGCTCTCTACCAAATTATAATTTTACCTGTGTTGCATAGAATAGTCTTTGTGTTTATATTTTATTATCTGTTAATTTCAAAATTAATTTTAAGTTTCATGTTGAAATGTTGTGCATACCTTTAAGTTAAATACATATATAGTATAATTTTGTTTATAACTGCAAATATTTAATAATAATGTTTTGTATGTGTTTAGTTGGTAAGCCGAAATAAATAAATAAATAAATAAATAAATGTAATAAAACAGTAACGAAAGAAAAACTGTACATTGAGTAATTTCGAGAAAATAAGTGGCTTTTGTTAGAAAAACGTAACTGATGACAAAAAGTGACTTTTTAGAATTTTTGTCTGTTTGTCTGTAGGTATGGTACAGCTTCACGCCAAAACTACTGGATTGAATGAATTGAAATTCAGCAAAAATGTTTTTTGTAAACCAAGGAAGACTTTAGGTTACATATTATTACGCTTATGTTATAAGAGGTAAGCAGTATTGATTTTAAAAGGTTTTTCTTCGTAATTAAATGCACAAAATAATTGAATGCACAAAATAACATGTTATTTGTTATAATAAAAAAAAATACACTGGGAGCGGGGCAGTAATATTATAAATTGCAAGGGAACAGCTGTTTAACAGTATGTCAACGGGGAATTTAGCTGTAAGGTCAGGCGACCGTTTCATCATCATCATCATCACAGCCCTTCACAGGTCCACTGCTGAACATAGGCCTCCCCCAAGTAATGCCACAAAGCATGGTCCTGAGCCACCTGCATCCATCGACTTCCTGCATATCTTACCAGGTCGTCACTCCATCTAGTGGGGGGTCGCCCTACACTACGCCTACCGGTACGAGTCTGCCACTCAAGAACCTTTCTTCCCCATCGATTATCAGTTCTTCGAGCTATATGGCCGGCCCATTCCCACTTTAGCTTACCAATCCGTTGAGCTATGTCGGTCACTCTGGTTTTACTGCGGATATCCTCAATTCTGAGTCTATCACGCAGAGAAACTCCGAGCATAGCCCTCTCCAAAGCTCGCTGAGCGACTTTGAGCGTCCTCATACGGCCAGCAGTGAAGGACCACGTCTCTGATCCGTAAGTCATCACTGGCAACACGCACTGGTTGTACACTTTAGTTTTCAGAGATTGAGGTATACCTGACGAGAAGATGTATCGTAATTTCCCGAACGCTGCCCAGCCGAGTTGAATCCGTCGATTGACCTCTCGGTCGAAGTTGGACTTACCTAGTCGGACTATTTGTCCCAGGTAAACGTACTCGTCAACAACTTCGAGCATAGTGCTCCCAACAACTACCGGCATAGGTGTGACATGGACATTAAACATGATCTTTGTTTTGTCCATGTTCATCTTAAGACCTATCCGTTGGGAGGCACTATTGAGGTCATTGAGCATAGTGCTTAAGTCCCCCAGCGATTCTGCCATAAGGACTATATCGTCGGCAAATCGAAGGTGAGTGATGTACTCGCCATTGATGTTAATACCGTATCCTTTCCAGTCCAGTAGCTTGAAAACGTCTTCCAAAGCAGCGGTGAAGAGTTTCTGGGATATAACGTCACCCTGTCTTACACCTCTCTGCAGTTGGATAGGTTTCGAGCTCTGGTTCTGTACTCGGATAGCCATCGTAGCCCTACTATACAAACACTTCAGCACTTCGATATACCGACAGTCAACTTGGCACCGCTGAAGGGACTGCATCACCGCCCAAATTTCGACGGAATCAAAGGCTTTCTCATAGTCCACATACGCCAGGCAAAGTGGCAAATTGTACTCTTCAGTCTTCTGTACAATCTGCCGCAGGGTATGTATGTGGTCTATGGTACTGAAGCCTTTTCGGAAACCGGCTTGTTCGGGAGGCTGGAAGTTGTCGAGTCTGCGTGCGAGACGATTCGTAATGACTCTCGAAAACAGCACGTAGACGCGGCTCAGAAGGGAAATCGGTCTGTAGTTCTTCAAGAGAGCGTTGTCGCCTTTCTTAAAGAACAAGACCACCGCACTTCTGCTCCACGCCTCTGGAGTAGTGCCACGATGGAGGACGGAATTGAAGAGCTTCTGAAGGACTTCAAGTACCGGTGTTCCACCCGCTTTCAGAAGCTCCGCTGTAATTCCATCCTCGCCTGGGGCCCTGCCGTTTTTAAGGTGCTGGAGAGCCATTCTAATCTCGCTCAGACTGACGTCCGGGATATCATCGGAATAGTGTCGGATAAGACTTGCTCTTGGATCGTTACTCACACTTGCGTGTGGCTCCAACGATGATGTGTACAGCTGCCCATAGAACCTCTCAATCTCACTCAAAATCTCAGGTGTCCCGGAAACGATGCTGCCACACTCAGTCTTCAGCCTTGACAGTTGGCTCTTACGGGCAGACAGATCTCTGGCAAAGACTTTGGAGCCCTGGTTCCGCTCGATCGCTTCTTTAATACGAGCAGTATTAAAGTTGCGTAAGTCTCGCCGCATGCATTTGGAGATCTGTCTGCTCAGTTGCCTGTATGCTGTCAAATCTGTTGACGATTGCAGCCTCATCTCCCGTCTAACAGCCATGAGATTAAGAGTGTGATCGGAGAGTTTTTGTGTTCTTCTGCGGCGGGTCTTGCAGAACTTAGCTCCGACCGCATGGACAGTTTTCACGAGCATATCATTCACATCGTCCACTATATTGCAATCTTGTAGGCACTGAAAGCGGTTGTGTAACTCGAGCTGAAAATTTTCGGGATTTTGGATTAGAGCACGAGGGGGAAGGATCGTTGACTTCATTAGACGAGACCTCTCCAACTTAACGTTTAGGTTCAGTGTGCCTCTAACCATTCGGTGATCGCTGCCAGTTTTCACCCTTGCGATTACTGAGTCATCACTGAACAGTTGGCGTCTGGTCGTCATAATGAAGTCAATCTCATTTTTTGTCGAACCGTCGGGGCTCGACCAGGTCCACTTCCTGTGAGGCCGCTTCTGGAAGAAAGAGTTCATCATAAAGAGTCCCTCTTTCTCCATAAAGTCAGCCAGCTGCTGGCCGCTACGATTCCGTTGCCCTACTCCAAATTCACTTAACTTCAGCTCACCGTTTTCTCTTGTGCCTAGTTTTGCGTTGAAGTCTCCCATCAACACCGTGTAGTGGGTTTTGGAGGAATGCATGGCTTTGGAAATATCCTCATACATTTCCTCCACCTCCTCTCATCGGAATGTGCCGAGGTTGGTGCGTAAACCTGTATGACCTTCAGCGAATACCGTTTGGTGATTCTGAGTATCAGGTACGCGACCCTCGTCCACACCCTCCCAATCTTTACAACGTTGTTACCGAGAGACTTGTAGACGATAAATCCGACACCTCCTTGGGACAGATGGTCGCCCTCCCGGTGATAGAATAAGTTGCCGGATTCGAGAATCACCGTGTCCTCCCCCTCTCTTCGGACCTCGGATAATCCTATAATACTCCAGCGCAACTTGTCTATCTCTTCTTC